GTATTGTATTTCTATTTGTTTTGACTGAAATTCGAAGAAAAAAAGATTTTTCGCCAGTTTTCAAATTACTGTATCTCTTTAATTATGAGTTGGATACCATTAGTATATTAACATTTTTTGTTCCAAATTACCTCGGGAATGCCCTCCCTAAGTGGGGGTAAAACTTCGTGAATCACCCTGCATAGATGAAATTATTGGGGATCGTCAGTGTGGGTTTTGACATACACAGTGTGTCCAGGATCCGTTAGGACTCATTTTTTTAAATTTTGCCCTGCCATGTCATCTGTTAGCAAGTTGTGGCGTTAAGATTCTTGAAATTTCAGCTGTGGCTGCCCATAATTTCGAAATGCAAGCATCGCTGCATCATGTGTTCTGACCTTGAATGTAACAATACTGTTCTGACTGTCATCGGAAAATGGCAGTTGAACAGAGAGCCAACATCAAATTTTGTTTGAAGTTAGGCAAAAGAGCTGGAGAAGCATACAAAATGATGAGAAGTGTGTACAGTAGTGATTGTCTGAGTTGCTCGAACATTTTTCGATGGTATGCTATATTTAGTGACGGCAGGGAGGACATTCAAGGCACTCCATGTGCATCAAAGCTGAGAACAAGTCGCACTGAAGAAAATGTGAAAAAAGTGAACAGGATGTTAAGGAGAATATTTTGACTGAAGAGAGAAGTAATGGGAGGTTGGAAAAAACTACATAATTAGGAACTTGTACTCTTCTCCAAGTATAATTAGAATTATCAAGTCAGGGAGGATGAGATGGGCAGGCATGTAGCATGAATGGGGCTGAAGAGGAATGTATATAGTATATTGGTGAGAAAGGCAGAAGGAAAGAGACCGCTAGGAAGATGAAGACGTAGGTGGGTGGATAATATTACAATGGATCTAAGAGAGATAGGATAGGGTGGTATGGACTGGATTGATCTGGCTCAGGATATGGACCAGTGGGGGGCTGTTGTGAACATAGTAATGAACCTTCGAGTTCCATAATATTGTAACGTGTTGCTGGTTACTGAAGACGCCGTAGAGATCNCGAGTTCCATAAGATGTTGGGAAATTCTTTAGTAGCTGCACAACTGAGGGCTTCTCGAGAATGGCTGAGCTCCATGAAATTAAGTAGTTAGTGACTAGTCTTCACTGGCTTTCAGTGTGCCACACATGTCTGTAAGGCTGTTTTCTTTTCAAATCACTTGTGACAAGTTTTAGGGAGCTCATTGGAATGTTTGAAAGCTCTTGCCAAGTGTGCAAACATTTAATACAAGACACTGTGATTTAATGCAGTAAAGGCACGTTATTGCTGATTATCATTATGGAAGCTGAGGTAACCCATTGAAGTCACTTTTTGTTTGTTGGATGACTAGGATTTGATTCTTGGCAGGAGAAAGAATAGGAATAATTCACATTTTCCACCCAGCCTCCTAGCTGATAGATACTGGGGGCAGTTCTGCATTCGAATAAAACAGTAAGGAGATGAAACTGATTATTCCTCTCCATCTAATGCGTAAGTCTAGAATGTCTGGTGCTTAAACACAAAAAATTTTAGATTTACCATGTTTTTGTTTCAGGTTCTGAAGGAGGATGGCACCATGTGGCCTGGGCATTCTTGAAACCTGTTGGTGCAAACAGTGTTCTCAACACCGAGAAGCAAGTGCGACTGCAGCTGTACAAGCCACAGAGAATGCGGAAACCAAGCTGTAACAGTTGTGATGTAAGCTAATGTTTCTTAGAACTATGTACACATGGTAGCAGCTCCAGACTGTCATTTTTCAAACTCCTAAGTAGATATTTTGCAGACCTCTGTGAAGATATACGTCCATATTCTGTATTAAAATACCCATAACAAGTCTAGTAGGCCAAATAGCAAGGAGAGTATTGACATATTTCTTTGATGCAGTCCCCTTACCAAAGTATTGAATAAAACAAGATGCAATGCTTGGTATTTCCTTAACCTCTCAGACATAATTTTTTTCTGCTGTTTATCCCCCAACTTTTTTTATTCTGAATGCAGGTTTATGACTGGTGGAGCAGTGGTGTTTGGGAGCGCTACCCTGCGACTCTGTATGTTACTGTGAAGGGAATCACACCCCCAGAACATTTTCCTCCAGTGCTGCGTTCTCGGAATGCTCTACAAGAGGAACTCAGTCAGTCCCCTCCATTTTTAGAAACAAACCAGAACCACAGTGAAGGTGACGCCAAGTCTGACCATGAGAACTCTGCTGTTTCAACACAGGTACTCTAGAATTGTCTACACTCACCATTCTCCAACTGCTATGTCTGAGTTCATATTGAAATCTGTTTATATGAAATACTAAAACATAGTTCCTAGGAAGTCTTTGTGATATCAATAATTTAACCCTTTAACATCATGCAAGAATAAATATAACTCTGTGCGAGTGTTCAAATCATATTCACATCTGTAGTGAGTACTTCTTCAGTCTCATTTCTATGAAGTAGCATGTCTTTTTATTAGTTTTCATCCCAATAAATTAAAGTGTTGACATATAATGCTGTGTATTTTAAGAAAACAAAATTGAATTACTTCTCATTTGGATATGGTTTTGAGATTGACAAAATACTGTTGTAGACCATATGTGATGTGCACGTCATGGATTGTAGGTCATTGTAATAGAACTTAGACAATGCTCTATGCTCAGCTATTTGAGTGACATGTAATAGATTCTGTATATAATTTCATTGCTTTATTGTAGATAGAGTATATTTTTATTACAGTCTTAACAGCTTTTGCAGTATTGCACAGGTAAGGTCTTTGGAGGTTGGCAATGAATGATTCAAGATATTTAGGATTCATTTTTGGCCTAGGCTTATTTATATGTTGCAATAAGGATGTGTATTAAAATGTGTTGCAGCTGCTGCTGTCTGCCGGAACATCCCTTCCTGTATGGTCTCGCTTACCATCACAGTCCTGCAAAATACCAAACCACCGTAAACTGGCCCTGCCAACAGCCTCAAGAGGATGTTTCTTTGTGAAGTTCAGCAACTCTGGTCTGCACCTTGCTTGCAGCATATCAGCTGATGAGAAGTACATCATCACTGTTTATTCTGTAAGTGTTACTGTGATGTAACTAAGATAATGTCTCTAAGCATTGTACGAGGGTAAGTCAATAAGTAAGTTACAAATGGATATAGAACTTAAAGAAATAAGAATACTAATTTGAAAAATACTTCTATTTCTCAACATAATCTCCCTGTACATTGATGCACTTGTCCCGTCATATCACAATCCCCTGAAAACCAGCAGCATAAAATTCTTTGGACTGCTGTTGGAACCAGGAGTGTTCACATGGCATGGCCTACCTCATAATGCATGACAGGTTAGGTTTTCACAACGTCTGTGCGTGATGGGTGCCGTGCATCCTGACCCCACAACACAAAATGCAAAGAATGGGTCTGGCATTACAGCATCTGAATCGCTACCATGCTGAAGGACACGATATGCTAGCCTGAATTGCCACAGGTGATGAGTCTTGGGTTCACCATTACCAGCGTGAGACAAAGCATGCATCAATGCAGTGGAAACATCCTGTGTCACATGCCAAAAAAAAGTTTAAGGTGACACCATCCTCCAGGAAAGTGAT